TGTGGTTTGTACAAAATAGGAACACTGACTTCCTTCTCATTTTCAAACATGTTCAGAAAATAGTAAAGACATCAGAATGCATCCATTGCCCCGCTTTCCTCATTTTCATATACCTTACATTGCTAATGCTTAGTGTGATGGCTTTTCACTGTTCAGTGCTCTCTGGCACAGTTAACTTTTCACTGCTTCAGTGAATTGTTCCAGAGAAAATACACACATTATTACACTTAAGCACAGAGAGATGAGCAATAATGAAATGTTAATGTGCAGCAGCCATAGCGTGCTGATTATTGACATAAATATTAGTTCAAGAAAATGTTTTTCTTTTTTATAATGACTGAGCAATAATCAATCTAATATGTTTAGCCATCTCTTGATAGGAAAATAATGTAATAGGGTAGCACTGAAAAGAAGAAAAAATGTACATGTACATATATTAGAGGTACAGAAAGAATATGGCCAAATGAAATATAGCACTTCTCCAAAAGGGAGATGTGAGCTACAAATAAAGTGACAGAATTAATATAAGTTTGTCTTTGTTTGTTCCAAAATATTCATGTGTTGGAGCTGTATTAGGAAATGTTTTGTGCTTTATAAGGCCTAATATAATGTGCATTCTGTTTCATTTAAGATCATTGATGGCATTCTCAAGGCAACTATTACAGCCTTTGAAATATATAGCATTAAAATTTCTAAATGCACTCATGTTTTTTTACTTGAATTACCAAATGATGCCAAATTTGATCTATAAAACAGATTTGAAAATATGTTGGTAAATTTAGAATATGGCCATCTGAAGTTTTAAGGATGGAATTAAAGAGATTTCAGGATTTAGACACCAAAATCCAAGATGAAAAATATATCTGTTTTAATCTCCTAGGGAATCTTGATAGAAATTTATGTTATATATCTACTTAATTCCTTTGTTATGCTATATGAGAAAAAAAAAAGGGGTCGGATTCTTCTCCATCCCCAGAAAACATTGGTAAACAGAATTAATTTATCAAAACCTTAATATCACTTACGCAACTGTCATCTTTTGGCAGCATGTGTTTGATTTCACTTTCCTGGGTGCCACTCTCATTGCATCCAGGTTCTGGGTGTACTGGCTGCAGACTTCTTAGCACTCTTTAACACAAAAAGAAAGCAAAAATGGAACTGAGTCAGTGGAAAACTCCAGGAAGTTTCAAAGTCTCTTTTTTGCTCCTGAAAACATACTAATAAAATATGATCAAATATTCTGATGGGACAGTATTGTATTCTCATTTTGAGTAATTTTTAATTCCTGATGTCTGTTAATTATTACAGCAATAAACTATTTTAGCAAATGTGAACAGAAGATCTAATCCTCAAGCATAGCTTGAAAATCATAGCTCTACATAAGTCATTAAAAAATTATGTATTTACCCCTACAGTTATTATCTTTCCCCTTCTGTAATTCTGTTAACTTCTTTCTTTTAGTTTAGGAATCATATTTCTCTTCTGACAAAACTCTTAATTGTGATTCTCCTGGATTTTTTTGTCCTTCCTTTCACATAACACAAGTCAGCTTGCATAGCTCTCCAGAGACCGCTGCAAAATTTTATTTACAGACAAGACACCATTTTTGACTAAGTGATATCTCACATAGCCATATGACTGTAAATTTCCTTTGCTTTGTAGGAAAATAAGTCAAAATTTTTCAAGCACCTAGAGTCCACTTTTCTTAAATACTCTGATATGTATCTACTTTTAAAAATAATATTATGTAGACATAATATAGATAAAATTTTAACATTTTAATACATTAAAAGTAATATATACAACATTTTAATTGTTAATAATAGTAAATCAAATAACATAGTTATTTTAAGAGTTTAAGAGGAACTTTATTTCATTTCCTTACAGACCAGATACTATATATACTACACTATATAATGAATAGAATAGATACAGTTATCTAAAGTTTTGCTGGAAACAACTGACAATGGATAATCACATGGTTCGGAATTGCATATACATGAGTATTTTGGTATTCTATAGGAAAGCCCTTATATAAGAGGAAGCCCTTGTGTATGTCACCATTTTTGTTAATAGAAAATACTCTTTAGTCAGGACTTCTTTGGGGCAGAGCTATTTCAGTTAAGCAAACAAGTTCAATGACAGTGCAGGACACTTTTGCATCTTACAATGGAATTAATTGTATTTTCAGATGTGGTAACCAAAACCAAAGTTTAGGGGTGCTTCTTCTAATGGACTGATTTTAACTCATTGAACATTGTGATAAACAGGGGATGAAGGGAATTTTTCCTTCTCATTTGTTTCCCAAACCTGTAGGGTTTTTAAAATTTACTTTATTGATCATTCATAATGCATAGAAAGAACACTTTTAAATTTTTTTTTAAAATATTTTAATTTTTAAGGTTAAACCAAAAATTAGATGGCTCTCTTTTTTATGTTACTTGAAAGTTTATAGGGTTTTTTTTTTTGCATACAGTATGGGCTAGCTCACGTAAGAGATACAGTCACTATTTCACAACTAGGTTACAAGTTTGTTATGAAGTTCAACTTCTGTTCATCAAAAGCCAGACAAAGAATTAAGCAATGTACCTCAATAAATGTGCACTTTTAAAATGTAGTTTCTTTCTATTGGTAACAGCAGAATCAAGTTGCCAAAATTGAACATTACAAGTGCAGTGCACTTGCTGAAAGTTTTGGGCTGAATTCCCATCAATGACTAGGTCTCTGGATGTTCATGGTAAATGCTGTGTGTGCTCTGGTGCTTAAGGAACTCTATAAAAAATTCATGAATAGATGATATTAGTTCATTCCACATCCAAAGGTTTACAGAGTCTCCTGAAGACCCAGACAAATCGTCTTTCTTCTTTCCCTACAGATAATCTCTCTTCTCACACCTTAAAATAAAGCTTTTTAGAGGCAGAGGGAAAAGCCTCCAATTTAAATGCTGCAAGCTTTCACTTGCTTGAGGCAATCACAATGTGTTAGAGGGGATACTTCTTCCTTTTACTGTGGTCTGTTTTTACACAAATTGACCCACACACGAAAATCTAAAATTGTCGCATAGGTTTGGTGAGCCACTGTCTATTTTCAGAGTGAGAAGGAAATTAGACTCACTCCCATATTTTATTCAGAAGAAAGAAAAAAAAAATAGAAAACAACTGATTTTTAGATGGCTTCTTCATATTCTGCAGGTAGCCTGCATCATGAGAGGACTCAGGATATAATGGTCATCTCATGTATTCATGCAAATTTGGAGACTGCCATCACAGGAAAAAATAAGGCCAAAAAAGAAGTTTTCACTGGAAATCAAACTTATATTGTGTATAGTCAGGGAACAGAACTCAGTGGAAAAAATGATGCCTTAAGTATAAGAATTTCCTCTGAGTAAGTAATCAATAGGTAAAATGAATGTCCCTTGCTTGGATTTCTAAACTTCGAGAGATTTGATTTTTTTTTTTCCACTTTCTTATAGGAGAAGGTTGTGGGATAATGTGTTTTGTCGAGTCCCTGCTTAAATACAAAAACTGATGTATCTTTTTGTCTGTCCATTAAGCCAGTAGATGACAAACTTCATTGTCATGTGACATTTTCTATGTCTACCAACCAGCAATCTGAGACATCTAATGATTTTTCAATTATTCAATTTTATTCAATTTATTGAATTGAATTTTTTGAATTCAAATTGAATTTAATTTGAATTAATTATTCAATTTTCAAGATACAATTGAAAGATAATGTTTTTGTGATAGCATCTTTGATGTGCATATGTACTGTCACCATAAATTTTATAAAATTACTGTCTTTTTCCATTGTGGTCAGAATAAAATAAGGACACAAAGATAGAGAGGTTAGATTTCACATGGGAAAGCTGTGAAGCTAATCTAATAGTTAAGTTTGAAAAATTAAAGAGGACAAACCTTAAGAAAATGCCTACTTCATTGTTTGACTTAATCTTCTCTGCTTTTTTGTTTTTTCAATTCTGTCATATGGGAAAAGCTAGATTGGACTCAGGCTGCTTCTTTAGAAGACTAGGAACAGTTTCTGCCAATTTTTGTGATTTGTACAACATGATGTAAGAGAACTTCAAAAGGAATTCTTGTTGATGGCAGTTTTAGAACCACCAAGGCTGTGGAGCAGAAGCATTTGCTGGAAAGAGCACTCCCAGAGCTACTTCCAAAATCATTAAGAGCTTACATCATAGAATAGTTATTAAACTCCATTACATGCTTTTCCCTCCATGTGTGTTTCATAACTGGTAATCTCCTGAACCTTTTGAAGTAAGCATATATATTTTTCTAGTCTTCCTCTTTTATATTTAATCTTTTGCACTTCTAGAGCATTTGGTTCATAAAAGATCTAAGTCATAAATATAGCCATTTCTATTTTATTGTGACATCCCTTCTTTAAAATATATCTGAGAATGTTTCAATGGTTAATACTAAACTCTTTTCCTTTGCTTATGCTTTATTTCACAGTAGTCATAATATCCCTTACAATAGAAGAGACCTTTTCCAAAGGCTTTCTGAAGCTTCTGAGACTCTCTGCTATAAATTATATTTGTATTCTTCACAGAAGACTGAGAACTATTTTGTGCAAATAATGGCACAGAAGCTCTTGCATTTCTGCAGAGCTTCTGAAGGCTTCTTTTCCCCTCAGTTTGCCTGCTGCTGTCATTCTAAAATCAACTAGTGTAGCCAGCTGCATGTCATATCTGCATGCCATATCCCGTAGCATCCCATGACCTCTCTGCTATCAGCCAATTCCCAAGTCCTCTGCCCTGGTGACTACTCACCACAGAGTTGTCATCCTGGGGGGAAAGGACAGACTCCCCATGGACTCCCCCTGGTTTCTCCTTTCCCTGTTCCCTCATTGGGTGGATACTCCTGGTGGCTGCGCCCTTTCCCCTGGAGCCCAGGCCCCTCTGCCCAGCCCTTAGCTCTGCCCTCACCCCTTTCCCTTCCTAAGCTGCCTCCTCCACGGGGTGGTTCTCTTCCTTGCAGGGCTCCTTCAGCTTCATGTGGTGCATCTCGCTGGAATAAAGCCTTGCAAAAAGAGCCTTTCTTGCCTCTCCCACTGAGCCAGCTGTGGTGAGTGTGGTGTGGGGATCTGACTGAATGTTTACCCAACCTGCTTTTCTACAGGACAGGTTTGGTGGGAACAGATATTGGGCAGCAGCAGCCACCATCCATCTCCCGCATTTTTAGTGGAACATACCAAGGCTCCAAGTAGATGCTTCAGAAGGGTAAACATTAGGGAGACACAGATGAAACATTTAATGTCATAGACTTTATATGAAAGCACGGATATAAACTAGCTGGTAATGATGGAAGGGAAGGGAAGGGAAGGGAAGGGAAGGGAAGGGAAGGGAAGGGAAGGGAAGGGAAGGGAAGGGAAGGGAAGGGAAGGGAAGGGAAGGGAAGGGAAGGGAAGGGAAGGGAGGGAAGGAAGGGAAGGGAAGGGAAGGGAAGGGAAGGGAAGGGAAGGGAAGGGAAGGGAAGGGAAGGGAAGGGAAGGGAAGGGAAGGGAAGGGAAGGGAAGGGAAGGGAAGGGAAGGGAGGGAAGGGAAGGGAAGGGAAGGGAAGGGAAGGGAAGGAAGGAAGGGAAGGGAAGGGAAGGGAAGGGAAGGGAAGGGGAAGGGAAGGGAAGGGAAGGGAAGGGAAGGAAGGGAAGGGAAGGGAAGGGAAGGGAAGGGAAGGGAAGGGAAGGGAAGGGAAGGGAAGGGAAGGGAAGGGAAGGGAAGGGAAGGGAAGGGAAGGGAAGGGAAGGGAAGGGAAGGGAAGGGAAGGGAAGGGAAGGGAAGGGAAGGGAAGGGAAGGGAAGGGAAGGGAAGGGAAGGGAAGGGAAGGGAAGGGAAGGGAAGGGCCAGTGTTCTTTCATCTGTTATTGAGTGCTTAAAAATTAGTATATGCATCAATTTAAACTACAGTAAAAAAATACTGACTCTCCTTCCCAATTACAATGTTCAAAATTAAATCTTCACCTGCATTTACCTGCCTGGAAGATTTATGTGCAATGATAACCATTATATAATTTTTACACTTGAATCCTGTCATACCAGGTTTGGGGAGATTTTTAGGAACTCCTCAGAAAAATACAGCAACTGTATTATGTTTCCTGATATTTAGTTTACTCATCTGGCCAGACTGTTGGCCAGTTATTCTGTAGCTTAACCTTTGTTGCACATGCACACAAGAAAATTTTGGCCATGTTCACTTTCATAGAAAAAGGAGACAACCAAAAGAAATTTGATTTTAGATTAAAAATTTTGGATAAATTTCTTGGTATTCAGACAGCTCCATGACAATACCCCTGAAAAAGAAAAAATCCAGTTTCTTGCAACCCACTGACTTTTGTGTTTTCCTTCACATAATCTGCATTTATGGGCCTGCTGGGACAAAATAACAAGTGGCTATCCAGATAAAATAAATATAGGGAGGTATTACTCCAAAGACTTTCTTCTGATTATATAGATGATTTGATGCATTTCTTTTTCTAAAAGTTATCCAAGATCTGTAATATATACCTCTGGTACAACAGTTTGTTTTAGAGGCTTGAGTATTATTCATAGAAATGAATTCTCTAAAACAAGTCTTATATCAGAAACATTCCACTAGAAGTGACATTTGTGTAGATAAACTTTGACTTTTCTTGTTCTAAGACCTTACTCCCAAAAGTTTCTGCTTGCCAAAGTGATAATAGAACTTGGAGTTCAAAGTGCTTTTGACTGTGTGCCAGGTATTTTGAGATGCCTGCAGCTAACACATCGTTGCCTGACAAATTATTTCCACTAACTCCTTTGGAGCAGTCTGTCAGTTTGCCTGTTAAGCCCCTAGTTACTGGGAGGTCTCTTGAAGATCTGAAGTGTAAGAAATCATCCACAAAGACATCTGTAGACGATTACTGGGTATTTTTGCACTTGTCAACATTTCCTGTTAAGTGCTTCCATTTGGAAATGGAGGAATTCTCCACTTTATGGAGTAGAAGTCTCGTTTATTACTCTTAAGTTAGCATGTAATCACTGCTTCTCATTCACCACTATGACTATATTAAGTGATACCAAGAAGCACTTGAGCAGTATAACTTCTTGCTAGAATGTATTATGCACGTGTCTAGTGAGAGAAGATTGGGGGAAAAAAATAGCAGCAAAAATTCCTCCTAACTAAAGATGGAAGTGTAGCTTTTTGTTCTGAAAGAAATATTAGAAGATTCATTCTTATCATAGAAAATATTTTCTCTTCTCTTGACATAATATATTTCATAATAGTGATTCCCTTAATCATCTTTGTTGATAAAGAAAAGCCCAGAATATTCCACAATTTATTTTCTTAAAGAGATCTACACTCTGATGTTTCCTTGTAGGATGTGTTGAAAAATATTTGAGGGAATCAAGATCAAAATATAATGAAGTAGTATTTTAATCCTGTGATTTCATGCTGCATAGTGAGTGCCATCTATTTGACGAAAGACACCAGTGCTTGGATTTTTTAAGGTCTTGGTTTTTTTTGTGAGGGTTTTCTGGTGGTGATTTTTTTGTTGTTGTTTTTGATTCCCTGGATTCCCACAGATTGTTTTGAGTTTTTTTGGTTGGTTGGTTTTGGTTTTGATTTTGTTTTATTTTTGTTGTTGTTTGATAACCTAAATTGCAGAGTCCATTTCCTTCCTTTCTTTTCCTAGAAACAAGCACCAAAAAGTTTTGCTTTGTGGGAGGTGGACACCATGTGCATCTAGGACTAGGAAGTTACAAGATGTAGGGCTTTCCAAGAGTAGATAACTCACAATTATTTACATTTACATTGCAATTTGTGCAAGAATGTTCTTGCACTAAATCTCTGCGGCTCTCAAATTCCCAATTTAATAAGATTACTGTCATTTGTGAAATGACTTTTTTTACATTATTCCCTTCTATTAGTAGTAGGAATAGCAGAATTTTAATTTTGTTACTCTTTAAAAAGTAGGATTTCAAAGAGAAGTTTTGAGTTTCATATAAATGTGGAAAGATTTGTTATCATACTGAATTCCTAGAGGAGTTTTAGACCATCTGAAAATGATACCAAACTGTTGTAGACTCTGCAGAACAGATTCATAACTAGAGTTAGCTAAGCATTAGAGACTGCTGGATTCCACTGAATGATAAGGTATATTTATGCTGTAACTGTATTTTCCTACCCTGGAATGAGAAGGAACTGCAGGAAATTGAAAGATGAGAAAATTGAATTGTAGGGAAATGAGAAGGGATTGGACAAACACTGTGTGCCAACAATGTATGTGTACCCTAAGCATCCAGCCATGGTAGAATAATTATTCAAAGGTTATTCTAGTCCAAGCAGAGGTAAAAAGTATTCTAAATTTCAAGTGGAAACCTCTTTTCTGAAGACTGCTGGTTGATATTTTCTAGCATAAGTGCTTCACATAGATTGTATTCTTAACCAAAGGTTTTTATCAAAACCAATTTTGGACTATTTTTCTTCTATGACATGTACATTCGCAAGAGTTTCATGAACTGAAGCAAATTGTTGGGTTTTATGTATCCACATAACAGATTTCTGTACAGCACAGATTACTTGAAAATATCACACCTGTTTTCCCTTTTTACATGGCTACCATACGGAAAACAGCCAAATTTGCAGATGCTTTTCTTGTCTTCATGGAACTCAGTAGACTATGCACAAACTATTGAAAAAATAATCTTTAACCTTACAGTGAAAGTTGGTGTCAGCACTTCCATTGCTTTAGCACAGTGTACATTTGTTCTCTAAAATTAAATCCTGGGGTTTATTTATTCTTATAAATAGTGTTCCCTGGGAACTGAGGACCAACAAGATCCCCACTGTCATCTAATCCAGGTACAGGGATGCTTTCTTTCCTGATCCTGATTTCTAATGCAAATCCATAGAAGCACATTCTGGAAATCTCCACAAAGACAAGGGGTAAATAATAAAATTAATAAATAAATAAACATCCAGTGTTCATTTTCTTTGAGAAGAAAAAAAGAACAAATAAATACAGAACAGATGCTAGCCACACTACTTAATATGCTACAAGAAGCCATGCTAATGTTTCAGTAATTGCAGACAGAGCTGAACCTGAATGGAATGAAGCAGATATTCAGCAGTAATGTGCAGCCTCCACAGAAATAAATATATTGTATAGACAGAAATATTAGACACAGTTAGTCTGAAAACCATTTTAATTATTAAAATTATTTTAACCAATGTATTCATGAACCAGAACTTTTGTACATCTCAGGTTTTGCACTCTCAGGATCATAATTATATTTATTCATAAATATAATAAAAAGCCTTCTTACTGATTGATCCAGACACAGTCTTTTACCATGAAGTATATCTATATGATCATCTGCAAGAATGTATCAGGTGCTAACTTGAGATAGTAAGCACCTGACTTTGGAAAAGGCAGACTTTTCTTTATTGAAGGTAGTAGATCATCAAGGTATTCATCTTATCCATAGTGTCCTTTCTTGCCTTTAGGTCTCAAGAAAATGTAAATCAAAAGCTTTTTGAGTTATGGTTCCCGATGATTCACAAGGTAATCTTGCAAACACAGCAAGGAAATATACGATTTGCAAATTGCTTAAATGACATCCTTGCTATTACCTTAAATTATTGTTGCAGTAAATCTTGTTTTACAATATTTCAGCTTGATAATATTTTAAAACTGTACCTTTATCAAGATAAATACTCTATTTTTTATTTGCTTACGTGCTTTTTTTTAACTTTATGCCTACGTAAGGACTGAATATTTTATCTCAAAATCACCTACGGTTCATTTCTTTATGCCAATCTATGTGTATTTAAACTAATTCTAAATCCTTAGCTAATACCAATTTTTATCCAGAATTACAGTAGGATTTGCCTGAAAATTAACATTTCCAAATTGCTAAAGACTTCAGATTCAGAATAACTTTGGATTAAGCATAATGTTTGCCTAGGTTTCTTAAGAGTATTACATTCCCTTCTGATTCTTAAAAGCAAATAACAATTTATTAACTATTTCAGCCCTTGGACATACATTGTGAAGTAACACCTTCTGGCTTGTATGGAAAATATGTAAGACATCCAATTAATAGTATCATGTTACATTTAGCTTGGCAAAAAAGCAGTCTAACTTTACGAAGACATACCTCCATTTTCTATATTAAGTGTAAGACACCTGTAAGGTATTGAGGTTATAAAAGGCTAAAACTAACCTTATGCATCTCTAGATCTGCCTAAATTATAGTAATTTTTAAAAAGTGCATTTACTGAGGCAGCTACTTTCAAGTAATTATTACTTATTGGTGGTGGCATTGCTTTTTGGTTTTTTTTGCCTAGAGAACCATCAGAAATTGCAGTGGCAGTGAAAGCTCTTGTAAGACCAGAATATGCTTCCAATGGATAGATGTCTTTCAAATAACAGGATTTTTATTATTTTTAGAGAGTCTAGTAATTTATATATTTGGTATGTGTAATTTATATTTAATATGACATATTTAATATGTCATATGCTTTTTAACTTTTATTATATTTCTGCTTTTATTATAATTTACATAAGAATAACACCTCAAGCATTATTCATCCCACAAGAAAAGGCTTACTACTCAAAAATTGCCTACATGTCTGGAGGCATCATTTTATGCGATTCTTTGTGTCCCTTGAATTATAAAATTGTCTGCAGAGAAATATAAAAGAACATATCATTTCTGGAAAAAAAAAAAAGAAAAATCACCTAAGATTTTAGGTATTATTGTGAAGGTCGCTTGGGCTTGGGTCTTTTCTAGTTTGTGTACATGTAGAATTATTATCTGAATGCTGCTTTTTAAAAGCAATTAAGCATTTAATTGGTAATTTTGGAAAATAAAGTCCTTAGACCTTGAAGTCTTTATGAGTTATACATGTTTGAAACTACAAACCCTATATTATCATAGGACTGGACTGAGACTGCCTCTCAACATTCTAGATATAAGATATGGATTTCTTAGGGTTGTGAGTTATTTTCCAGAAGAAAATCAGAAAAAAAATTAAGACAGAATAAAAACTCATCAAAGCAAAACCAAACCAAACCAAAACAAACAAATAAAAAATACAATGTTTTGTAGGCTTTTTTTAGTAAACATTTCCAAGAAAGTTTGACAAATATTTTGCAATTGAAAACCTCTCTTATTTTGAAAAATAATGTGCTGTTATAGAAATTTGTCTTTGCATGGCCAAAGTGACTCTCTTTTGCAAAGATACCCAGAGAGCTCCCTTAAAAATACATTGAGTGACATTCAGGACTTTCAGGACTCCTCAACAGCTCATACAGGGGAGGTGCTACCCTGAAATAGTCCTTTTCCATGAAACCAGTTTTCTGTATTATTGGGAGAAGGGCACATGAATTTACTCAAGGAGTTAAGTAATATAATGACAATAATTTACTTTTTCTGTCAATGTTTTAATACTGAAAGGGGTAAGTTTTAAAGGCTTTTAATTAATACAGTTATGGAAGGGCATGAAATGTATTGAAGCTAATGGTTGTAAAAGAACAGTCTCGAAATCCCACATTGTGATCACCAGTAACTAAGTAGGAGAAAGGTATTTTAATGAAAGCAAGATAAGGGATTTCTAAGGTCCTATCCATTATGACCCTTCTCTCTCCCAAGTGTTCAAAGTATCATACTTATTTTACTGAACCTATTTGTTCTTCCTGTACTTTTCTGAATTTTCTGTATTTAACACAGCGTAAGACTTATCTTTCTCTTAAAATTTTAAACTTGATTAAAATCTATGGAGGAAGATTGTTCTCTAAGGGTCTCCCATGTGAAAAGGAAAGGTTAAAGGGTCATGGCTAGATACTGCTAACCAGTTTAAAGAAGTGAATTTGTTGAAAAGGCCAGGAAAAGGAAAATTCCTTCAGTTGAGACACTAATGTAAATATTTGGAATGTGACGATGTTTATGTGACATTTCTAACCATAGCTGTAATGTTCACTAATACCGGGTCTACTCTTCTGTTTATATCTGTGTTAAGATTCCAGTGAGATGCTGATATCCTCCCTAGTCAGCATTATATCTGCAATTTTGTGTGATATTCATGTCTGACAAGGCAGGCCTCTTTGAGACTCTGTACTTGTACTACCAGTGAAACAGTTGATAGAGGGGGAGTGTATCCTACATGGTTTCAACACAAAAAAAGTATTTTCAGAAAGCAGGAACCTGTGGCAGATGTTTTCCACTTACCCTTTCTGTTTCATTTCTGCTTCCCTTTTTCCTTCTCCTCCTTCCCCTTTTCCTTCCCTTTACTGTTACAGTCCCCCTTCCCCTTTGCCTCCTTCTTCCTTCTTCCTTATCTTTTCTTACTCTTTCATGTTTTCTGGTCTAGAGATGTGCTGAAGCATTAAATTGGTTTACTGATTGGCAGCTGTTCTCTGTGATGGCTAAAATATTCTCTATGTACTTTAGCTCTCCGTTATAAAGCTATAAATCTTGGTTAAATTAGGTTTTACAAAGTACATGAGATATTTTTTGAAATTCTGGAGATGAAGACACCCTAAATATGCCAAAAGCCATAGCTATCACCAGTCAGCTCTTTCTGAATTCTTCAGAGAACTACATTCAGGGAGGGATATTTGAGAAACTATGCACCACTGCTCCTAACTTCACTGTTGGTGACTTTATATTAATAAGATTTCAGTGGATACAAATGTCATGGCATTTATTCTGGATTTAGGCTACAGGTCCATAAACTCACAATTACCACAGCAGCTTAGTATCTATTTTTGTTTGCATGACATGTCATAAAAGGCAAGTTTTTTTGAACTGAATAGTGACAGAAAACTGATGAAAACCTTACAGCCCATGAATTATATTCAGCCATAAGATACTTCTACTGGGAATACACAGATTTTTTTTTTTTTTTTCAGTCATCCCTGAATTCTTCTGTTCTTGGGTACTTTGGTTTTCAAGATCTTTCCAGTGGTCTGAGTAGTCAGTTTTCAAACAGGACTGCCATTTTTCTTCAGAATTTAGGAATTCATATTATCTTGACTGTATTTCAATGGTGCCCATGTTGGCCCATATTGTTACCTTCAGGGAGGATCTTTGAGAGCTACATGCTATATCTTATTTCATAAAATTCTTCACTGGGCTGAAGTACAGTGTGAAACACAAGTAAAACCAATACTTGAAATTCCTACTGGGGAAAAAACAATGTAAGCTGGGAAAAAAAAAAAAAAAAAACCAACAATGTAGCACTTCATATCTCAAGCAGAAAGGCAAATTTTTGTCAGCCAAAGTAGAGGAGACTTAGAATCATATTTTTCAGAAAACGGTAGGGAGGGGTGCTCTTCAGAGGAAGCAGAACCAAGGGCAACTCCAACACAGGGCAGAGCAGGGCAGGAAATGACCCTAACAGGTGCAGTTCACCCTCAAGGGAGCAGGATGACCAGGCCAGGTCCCTCATGGTGACCACGGCTGGCCAGGATTCTCATTGAGACCAAGAGGTCAAGTCAGGGAGTTGAACCTGTGAGTCACAATCTGGAACAGCACAATATATCACCAGCTGCTGGCACAGCTGCAAAGGCTCCTGTACAAGGTGGGGGAGTAGGGGCATTACTCATAGCCTTTTCTCACAGTTGTAAACCAGGTCCAGGCAGCCTGTCTTGTCAAAGATGGCCTTGACTACAGGCAGTAAAACCCTTATGGTCTCTATGTATGTGTGTGTGTGTGTGCACACCGAGGGAGTTGCAAGGTTATCACAATAACTGTTAAATTTAGCCCAGCAATTACTGTTGTTGTTGTTGACATTGTACTGTTGTCATTGTTACTAAACAAGAAATAGAACTTCTCTAAAGGATGACTCACTCACACAGTTTCTTGAGAATAAAATTGAGCATTTAGTAGTCTCTGAGACTTTACAAAATCTTGTAGTGGTATCATCAGATTTACACAGAAAGGCAAAGGTAATTCTTGAAGTGATCTCAGTATGTTCAGTTTATATGGCAATGTCAAATTAAGCTTTGACTAATGAAAAGTACCTGTCTGTCTTCACACTGCTGTTCTTGCCCATCTAGCATCTCTTTATCTCTTTTTCCTTTGCATTTCTACTATTACTGTCTGTCTTTTGTCTCTATCCATTCTCTCCCCATTCTTTAAACTGTTCAGTACCAGGCACTTTGATAGACTTCTTATGTGACCTTGTACAAAGTGACTTGATGATAAATTTGATAGTCAGAATTCATCACTAAAGTTAGATTTTTCATAAGCTTTGGCTTATACTTTCTTTCATTTTTTGACAGATACATTTCATTTAATATTGTTTAATATACTTATTTAGCATTACTGGTATTAGTATAAACAGACCAAAGCCCCCTTTCTGCAAGCATGTTTCATGTTCCCTAATGAAGTTTATGTTTATCACTTTCATGGATGATATTAATACTTTGCAAAATATATTTTGTTCCACAGATGAAAGATGCATCCATAAAAGCAAAGAGAGTAGTGATTGCACGCTGTGGCCACAGAGTGGAGAAGCACCAGCTAGCTTATGGCCAGAGGGCACTCACAAGAGTGGCTGCCCCTGAGTCTCTGCTGAGACATTTCCAGGTGACCGTGATTGCTGCGAGCACTGCAGAAACAATACACGAGGACCCCGAGGCAAAGGAAGAAGAGAAGGGTCACCTGAATGAGTTTCCAAAGGAGTTCATTACCCTGAATAAACAACAGGAACAAGTGTCACAGAAAATGGGTCTGACTAGCACTCTTACAGAGGGGGTGGTAGAAGAGGTGGATACAACTCTCATTCAATCAGGGGATCTTATGTAAGGACTAGATCACTTAACATAACCAATAGGGATCATTCAGGGGAGGGAAGAAACCTTATAAACCAATGAACCATTGAGACAGAGCTAACAGAACATTTGAGAACATGAGGGGAGTGACTACAGTGACTGACAAGAATAGAGGGCAGAACAACTGGGATTGACAGAAGCTTAAAAGGGAATGAGGGGAAGAACAGGGAGACTAACACACTGATGGGCAGGCAAATGTGGGGAAAATAGTGTGGTAAACAACTTAGGAACAAACCATCTGAGGGAACAAAATAAGGACCATGGGAAAAACTATTATAACTGACTGACATAGAAATTCTAACTTTTGTATTAAAACAATTGTAAAAACACCAACTGCCACAGAGAGTTTTCTCATATGAGTTCATTAGAATGAAAATGGAAACTGAGTTGGGAAAATAAAATATCTAGACTGTGAAATAAACTATGGGCTTTAAAAAAATGTTTTCTCAAAAAAGATGACTTATGTATTCTATTTGATGTATTAAGTCTATTGCTGGAAGCATTTAACAAAATATTTTCCACTCCCAGTTACAACCCATGTGTGAGAACACAAGAAGTGCTTTCTGTCCTCTCACAGAAGCTCTGTTCAGGCAGCATGAAAGGGTTTCCAATGCTCATTGAACCTATTTTGAAATGGAAGATTTTACTTAGTAATAGGACTTTGGGTTTTGTTTTTTGTTGGTGAAGATGTATAACACTTAAAACACACCTAGCAAAGTAATAACCTGGTTACAGAAATTAATAGACTCTACTTCAGAGTTGTGTCAGATATTTTTGCATCTGACACTGTCAGATGTTTACGATTGGTAAAGTGTCAGATGTTTACTATTGGTAAAGAAATAAATGCTTTTTGACAACCTACAAAAGATATGAAGAAAAGGTGGAGGCCACAGTTGGCTTTAAATAATTCAAAATCAAATTTGTAACAACAAAACAAAACAAAACAAAAAAAAAGCAAAAAGGACAAGCTTAAGAAATGATCTTGCACAACAAAATATGTGTGTTTACAGATAATACAGTCACTTAATAGGCACTTCCAGTAAATAGAAGCATTGTCACCTACTGATTTTTCTTATGATTCTATAACTAAGAAAACATAATAATGAATTTTTCTATTGATGTTTCAAAAATGTTTCAAGGAAATAAGAAAGTAATTCTTTTATCATAATTCGGTCTCATATTTGCCTTGTTTGTAAATAAATGTGTCTGCAAAATAAATACCACAATGCAGTTTGGGTGGAGCTTTGGGTTTTCTTTGTTTGTTTTTAATTGGGAACTTCAAATATGTTTTTCATATGAAATAAATATCTGATTTATAATAATTATTCAATTAATTCTACAAAATTCAAGCTTGCAGGGCATTGCAGTACAGAAGAGATTAAAATGTTCTAAAGAATAAAATAATTAAAAATTGTGTATCTTTTACACTGTTAAAAAGTGATAGATATTAGCACAAAAATTTGTTTGTTGTTCAGGGGTTTTTTTATGTTTCATGAGTGCCGAGCAGATTGTTAACCAAGAGTAATTTTCCAGGTGATATTTGTGGTCTGTAAAAGAGACCATTTTCCCCACTCAGCTTTGTGTTTTCAAAACCCAGAGTAATCCGTTCCTTCCAAAGAAATATTCCTTCCAAATGACTGATGAATGGAGGCATCCATCAGCGTGTAAGTAATCGACAACTGAACATTTTAACAGAAGCAATGCATAAAGTGGCATTATAGATCAGCTGAACAATTCAGTAGTTTGTGCCACTAGTGATAATTAGCTATTACAGCTCAGTGGTGTGGTAAATTGTTCAGCTCCAAAAGGTATTTCACCAATACAATATTTCCAGATGCATATTTGTCATGTGTCCAAATCATTGCCTCACTTGTACCTCTAAAAAGGAGCAATGGCAGAAGTAAACCAGTGAAGAACCAATAGAGTGAACTCAAAAGCTAAGGAGTCATCTGCATTTCAGGTGAATTGCCACAATAATAAATTTTTCTAAATCCTATAATTTTTTTATATCTTGCTTTCAGTGCTCTTCTCATAAATGGGAGAAGGGTGGTTGTGCCTATTCTTTCAGTAGAAAAAAAAATATTTTTCTTGAAGTGTGGCATGCACTGAATGATAAACTAACTGTATCTCTATGTCTGTTGGATGAAATTTTTTATGTAGTGTGTGAAAGAGGAATAATTTTGAGTATGAGCTACTCAACTCTGTCAGTTAAAAAACTAAGTGTAGAAGTATATTACGACTATTAGAGCTAACTGTACTGCCTCTACCTGACTGAGAACAAATATTCAGATGGTTTTCCATCAAGTATGCAAACAAATCCATTGTCTTATTCCCTTTTTTAACAGTAAGGATTTATGAGTGTAGCAGCAATAATAGAAATACCTCTTTCTTACAGAAGATTTCTGTGTTTCTGCTGTGAAAAGTATCATGCGGATTTAGAGAAATCATTGAAACACATCACATTGCTATAATGTATGTGATTTTGCTGGGCGTTAAATACCAAAACCGTGTATGTCCATTTCAAGATTTGTAGATTCTATCAAAACCCAGTGGTTTCCACAAGAAGAAAGAGTAGGTTCATGGTATAAAACAGTAATATCTGTTCCTTGGGCCCTGTAGTGGTAGCAGATTGTGCTTTGGAATGACAAAAAAGATTTTGCAAGAAGCTGATAATTTTTCTGAGTTATTTCATGATTTATTACTTACTGTGCAACATAGAAATTATGAGGTACCTTATCACTCCTTATTGGATTGCTTCGAAAGTTCATTGTGAAAAATAACAGCTTTCTATATACAGTTTTAATACCTCTTCGGGAGGTTCTCGGACTCATGGTTCAAGAATCAGAGAATGGTTTGGAAGAGACCTTTAAGTTCCAATGTCCCCTGGAACAGACAATGACATCTTTCATGACAGCAGGTTGCACAAGGCTCTATCCAATCTGTCCTTGAACACTTCCATCTTCTTGGACCCAACTGTTCCAGTGTCCACACTTACTGTAAACAAAATTCTTCTTTATATCTGATCTAAATCACCTCTTTTTCATTTTAAAACCATTATGCCTAGTCCTGTTATTACAGGGACTGGTAAAAATCCACTCCCCATCATTCTTGTAAGCTCCATTTTTATATTGAAAGGCCACATATCCTTTACATAATCAAATTTTGAACTTTAACTCTCTCATCCTTTATACACAGGAGAGTTTTTCTAGCCCTATGACCATTTTCAAGGCCCTCACCTGGTGAGGTTCTCCTGTGGTCACGGAGTGGTGGAATGCTGGCTAGCAAGTTCCTGGTGTGACCAGAGGGACACATGAGAGTGGTTGCTTCTGGGCCTTTGCCAAGGCTACACACTGCAACAGGAAGACAACGTAGAAACCAAGGTGAAGGAACAAAGGAGAGGCCACACGTATGAGATCCAAAGAAGATTTATTCCAACGATGGGTCAGGGATGAGTGCCAAAGAAATAGGGTCTGGCTCGGGTTTATAAAGGGAAGGGTTGTAAGGGTTGGAAACATGAGACCACCAATGGGAAATCACTAAGGGAGGAGTACAGTGCTTGTAGCAACCAATAGAGACAACACAGGGGAGGGATAAAGCCTCGTGAACAAACCAGCTGTCTGGACAGGAGTGATTGACACTGAACATTCTGGAACCAAACGGGAGTTGTTGGGTTGACTGACAGGAGGGGGAGACAACAAAACTTGGCTTGGCAGCAGTTTATATGGGAAGGAGGGGAGGAACAGGGAGATTGGCAACTTGCAGGACAGCCAAGTTGGTGTAAACAACTTGGGACACACCATCGTGAGGAAACAAAACAGGGATACAAAGGATTAAACCGTTGCACTAACTAACATCCAACAACTAACTTTTATAATAAAACAACTGTTAAATTCATAAAGAATGCATCACCACAACCTGAACCCTCTCTGACATATTATTGTGGTTTTTAGTGCTGAGAACCCCAGAGCTGGATGCATTCATCCAGGTGAGGTTTTATCAACACAGAGTAAAGAAGGAAATCATCTCCCTCAACATACTGGCCAAACGTTTTTTTTTATGCAACTCAAGATGCCATTGGCTTTCTGGGCTGCAAATGCACTTCACTGCCTCATGTCCAATTTTTCTTTTGTCAATATCTCCAAGTCCTTTTCCATAGGGCTGCTTACAATCCATTCATACCCTAGGCTGTCCTGATACTGGAGATTGTCTCAACCCACATGCAGAACCTTTCACTTGATCTTGTTCAACTATCAAGCTGTTCATCCACTTCTCAAGTTTGTCAAGGTCCCTCTGCACGTCATCCCTCTAGTACATCAACTGCACTTCATCCTGGTGTAATCCATAACTTACTGAGAATGCAAATAGTCTCGGTTTATATTATTAATAAACAGCACTGACCCAAGTGCAGACCCCTGAGGGACGTCATATATAACTGATCTCAATCAGGACATTGAGACTGCAAGACCTTGGATAACGCCATTCCATCAATTCCTTATCCATCTAACAGTTCATCCATCAAACCCGTATCTTTCCAACATAACGACAAAATGTGGGTGGCATCACTTCAAGTCCAGATAAAGGACATCTCTTTCCTTATTTGCCAGCTCCATCATTCTGCATAGAAGGCCATCAGCTTACTCAGAAGGATTTGTGTTGGTGAACCCATGTTTGCTATTTCTAATTACATTTCTGCCTTTCATGTGCTTGCCTGGCTTCCAGGCGGGTCTGTTCCATGGTGTTATGAGGCATGGAGATGAGGCTGACTAATCAGTAGTTTCCAAAATCCCTTTTTACACCCTTTATAATGACAAGTGTTGTCTTCTCTTTTCCAGGCACTGGGAATTCATCTGATTGCCATGACTTTTCAAATACAATGGAATTTCCTCTTCAGAAAAATTTTCAAAATTTCTGATGCTCATTCATGATGTCAGTATTGGAAATCTAAAGGTAATTATGTACTGACTCTTCACAGAGAGAGAACCTACAAGTGTAACTGGAATATGCACTGCTCCTCCAGGTATTTGTCCAAGCTTAATACTACACACTAGGTAGCTGTGCAGATGTTGTACACTGTACCCCTTTTCTTCATCTCCCTACAAGGCAGCTGCATACTTGAAGGAATAGGTGGGCTGAATAGCAATTTTTACCATTTTTTCATTGAAATATGGGTCGACAAAGCCAACAGGACAAAAAGAGTAACTTACCCTTGAAATAAAGATTTTCATGATTCAGAAAAATATTTACCTTGTGTTTTGTTGATTAAGGTTAAGCAAACAGTCCTCTGAATCATATTTTTTCCTTTTTCATCTCATTTGGATGAACCACTAGAAAGTGATGAGGTAAAGAACAGATTTGTTGTAACAGTTTAATCTTCTGTGCAGCACCAATTGAGGCTGAAAAAATAATTTTAAAGTTCAGAAAAGTATCAGTTTCTTAGAATTCAAAATATGTTGCAAATGTTGATTTTTCATTTTTTAGCATATTATTGTCTTTAATATGCCCCTTTGGAATAGCTTAGACCTCCAGGTCAAAAGTTTTGTGGAAATGTATAATTTGAGATTAATTTTTTCTGGAATGTCAGTTCAAAGTTCAATTAAACTCTTGAGGAATGACTAAGTATTTCAGTTCGCCCAGCTGGGCTTGCTTTTATGTCGTGCTTTATGTTACAAATAAATTTAGGTGGTATTTGTAAGTCATATGAATTTTTTAACAGGAAAGTTACTTGGAAATCTTCTTCCAAGAAAAACATTACTACTTAACACAAAAGTTTTTCTGAATTTAGCAAGACGTGTCACATTAAATGGCAATAAAACAATAAATCTCAAAAACATTTTCCTTGCTTTACTGTTGTAGTTTTGCATTTATTTGTTTGACTACATTTATTAGGGCACAAGATTCAGTACAGCACTTACTCATGTTTGTGTAGTTACTAGCTGAGCAAGGGCTCAGTAACAAGGTCATACCACATTTCTTGTAAGTTTTTAAATAATGTTAATAATAGATAGGAAATGTGTTTGGTGATAATCTTGTATGTCTTTTTTCTTAAAGAAAACAAAGACATTAGTCTTCTGTCTTTGCAAATATAGACACTTGCAAAGGATATCTGCAAAGATAGTACTTGGTAGCAATGGGAAGTCTCCCAGACTCTGAAGTTAAATTTATGCTTTCAGTCTGAACATTTCTCTTGGATGAATTTCTTCATTTCTCATGTGAGTCACATGGCACTGAAATAGTCCAAAACATTTTAGACAAAATGTGAAGAAGTGGAACTAAGGGCTGTGTGCTTATTAAACTAATAAATGATTTAGGCAATAAGGATCTAAATGTCAAAGGCTTTACCACAAACTAAAGAGCAGGGCTACCCCTCAATATTAATAAGGTTCTGATGTACTATGAAAAAGCAAAACTATTTCAGACTTTTTTCAATATCTGTGTTCCCTTTTTGGTTACATAGAGAAAAATTCTAATTCAGGAAATCTGTTGTAACGTGCTCAAACGTTGTTTGAGTGATGTAACATACATCACTCAAAACCCACAGTCAGTTTACTCAAGTGATTGATCTCTAGCATCCTGCCACTTGGCCAGTTTCTAAGGAACATATTACTGGGAAAACATCTGTGTAAGTTCTTTTTGTCTGAGTCAGCATATGTTGGGCAATGAAGCATAAAATTTGCAAATAGTATCCTTAATTTTAACACACAATTTTAAACTACACTGCTTTTATCGTCTTTCTTCCCTCTGCTCCAACCCATGAAAGTATTTGGTTGCATTTTGCAGCTCAAATTCAGAGGACAAAAATGAAAACCAAATATTTAACTTTGAGCAATCGTTCTCCATTACTAAGATTGTCTGGAAGAATATATGAATATATAAAGGTGAGTTAAACCTTAGCAGGAAAAATGTACTGTATCCAGACAGTATAATTAGTTTCTTGAAGCCTTGCCTCTAGTTTTACACTTGATCAGTTATTTCTTCAATGAAGTAATATTCTGCATGGTTAGACAAGGTCTTTAAAGCAATTACAAAAGGTTAATTGTACCAAATTAGCATATCTAATATTATACTAATGCCACAATATGTGGTGAATACCAGTTTTACCCACCATATGTATTTAATTGGCATGTCTATTTGTCTAAGTATTTCTGAATTCAACCTCCTGAATATCTGCAGCTGAATATTTTAATATTTTTGTAATAATTATTTTCATCCATTAATTTTTATTAGTAAGTATTCAGTTTTTTTTTTTTATCCTGCACAAATCTTAACACATCTGTTAATCTGCAAATTTATTTCTACAATAAAATAGTACAGGTGATGTGGCTATTATATCTCACATCTCTCGAATATATATTTTTTAAAAAATGTGGCTAACATGCCTATTGATTTCAGAGATGGAACTAGATAGGCTCAGTGAACTAAATTTCACAATATTTAAGCTGGAACATTTAAGCATCCTTTAGCATGTGCTTGCTCTTTTGTATTTTTTTTTTACCTTAATATGAGAAATATAGATAGAAGCAGAGAATGAGAAGTTAATTAAAAAAAAAAAATAAAAATTTAAATACTGTAGATGAGAAGATGTTTTTTGTAATAAGATTGGAAGAGTTAGAGAAAACAGAGAAGACAGGAAGATGAAAGAAATTTTCCTTTAAATGAATTTTGATTTAACAGATGATGAAAAGGACAAAATAAATGTTATAAAGAATTGGTTTCAGAATGTAATGTATGATGTAATGAAATCAGAAAAGTATTTTCATAATTTTTAAGAAGCACAACTTGCAGTTCATGACAGGTGTGATGACGATCTTTGACATATAGTATCAACATGAATGCACTGCTATCAGCAGCACTTTAAAATGCCTCTATTTTTACTAGAAAAACCAAGGTTAATAAGTCACCAGCAACTGTTCATAATGACAGTTGTGATCCAAAGAGTCATTGGACTTTTTTGACAGTTCTGTTACCTGACTCTATTCTGACCAGACTGATAGATCCATAAGGATTCCTAGACCCTCTTTCATCCATGATTTGTGATTGCTGGAAAGGCACCACCAACAAAAACAATTCCATAGAAATTGTGAATTTAAACAGGAGCTTCTACAAATGAGATTTTGTAATAGATTTTCACCTGGGACCAAGTGTGTTTAAGCCCACTCTGTCTTTACTTATTTAAAATGTAGATTAGATGTTTTAGATGAAGGTACTTGTGAAATTCATGTGATTTTTTTAACTGTATTGCTTAGTAGTAATGATACAGGGCATGAGAATGAGAGGCAGTAGGAACCAACTAAGACACTCATGCTGGATGTGAGGAAAAAATTAAAAAAAGTAGAAATATCTCTTGCAGCCTTATCTGTCAAAAGTTTTCTTTGCTTAACTGCTCAGACATTTTTAACTAATCTGTAAATTCTAAAGGTGTGATTATGATGGTATGCTTTCAATCACATTTTCTGAAAAAGTTTAATACTTATTCTTTGAAGCTAGTTTATTTAAAAATATAATTTACTTTATTTACTTTATATGTCTAAAATAAGAAAATTAAATTCAAAAGTACTTATCTATTTGTAATTTTTTAAATCACAAAAATTTAATAAATGATATTTTATATTAATTTTACCATCTTTTTATTCTGTTTGAATCCATTCTAAAATATGTAAACATGCTTACACTCTCTTTTGTCATAAAAGAAGTGACTGTCTCAAAAGTACTAAACATCCTGTATCTTTTGTATTTTAAAATGTTATAACCAAATTGGTGAGATATGGATGTGACAAGTTAATAATAGCATGGATGACTAACTTCTGAGTCAATGTAAAGGTCTGTGAGTAGTTCATGTGGATAGAAAGAGTTAATACAGAGGAAGGTAGGATTGCAGGGGATCCTGGACAGGCTGGAGAAGTTGATAGTCAGGAACCTCACAAGGTCCACCAAAACTGAAGGGAAAGCCTGATACCTGGGATGAATAAAGCCTTGCAGCTGGACAGGGTAGGGCTGACCAGTCAGAAGCAGTTTCCAATAAAGGATCTGGTGCCTCAGGTTGGACACGAGGCAGCAATGCCCCCAGGAAACAAAGTAGCCCCTTGCTTGCTGAAAGGGACAGTTCCCTGTTGTCTTTTACCTCAGAGATATCTGTATATATAGTTGTAGCTGAGTGCTGTGCCTCTTCACATGGGGAAGACACAGATCCACTGATAGAGAATATATTTGGTACATAATCCAAGCTGTTAGGCCTTTATCTGTAATAGAAATTTGCAAGTGAAATTTCACTACAGGCATAGTGTGGTGAAAATCTTAAATCTTCAGATCACCAACTGGGTCACCAACCCCAGTCCCTGCTTGAAGCAGGTCCAATGGTAGCAGGTGGCTTAGGGTAATGATCAGTGCATCTCTGAGTATTGCCATTTTTAATCCCCACCAGAGTTCCGTTTCCAAAATTCAGCCAGAATTTCTCATGTTCCTGTTTTTATTTATTTGGTTTTTTTTTTTTGCTCATGATTGTTGGTACTGTTGTAATGGGATAGATTAGTATCTTTTTTGTCTTCCAGTTGTTTTCTTTTATTTTTGCCAAGAAGATTTCACAGCTGTAAATAGTTTGAACTGTGGCAATAATGCTACTCATGATATACACAACCACAAGAGCCTCTGAACATAATAACAAGTCAATGCTAGAGGAAAGCATGGAGGATTGTTAGGATATTGCCTCCAGCATCTAATGCCCCAGGAATCCATTTACAATTGGAATCCACTCCATCACTTATGCTTTAGCATTTATTAGGAACTTGAAGATCAATTCATCAAATGCAGTGTGCTGCTGCATAAAAAAGAAAAGAGGACACTGCTCGATGTTCTCAGCTTTATTATAGTGGGACATCAGCACTTAAATGCCTGCAATATAATCTGAGCCTTGTAATTAGTAATCATTCATTACAAGCTGAAAACACCATATAGAGCACTTAGAGCCCCAAAGGACTTAATTCTTAACTGCAGCTAGTGTTGTTTTATGATTCCAATAACTAAAATCTATTGACTGTGATTTTATTATGGTTTGTAAAGAAAGAAATTGAGTGTCTCTTCCATTTTCTTCTAGCCTCAGGCAATTGCTGTCTGTTTTATTTTCTGTTACCATTGAAACTGAAAATCTGGAGAGAATTACATTTCTTTGTATTAGATGGCCAATGGAAATTAGCAATGTGCAAGGAACTGATGATATTAAATTAACATATTTTAAATTTGAGTATCAAGCTATAGTGCCCTGTTCATTAATAAACTTAAAACCATATGGTTGCTTTTGTTTTTGGTGTCAGCTTAGTTGGGTGGGCAATGCTTAGGCACAACATAATATACACTTATTGATTCTTAAAAGGTCTTCATTCACACTTGAGCCAAAGCAGCTGGTAGAGGGCTAAAGAGCATTCAAGTCACCCAAATCTCTAGATATTGCTTTCTGCTGTACCATCTGTATCCTATTAAATATTCTTGACTTTTGCCAAGTTTGGCCAATTTATATGTTAAATCAGTTGCTGAAAACAGGATCCAAGATGCTTGTGCAGGGAAAAAAAACCCTAGTATTAAATTGCAAACTCTTATACATTAATCATCTGTTTTGGAAAAATCAAATTCAACTTCTGCTGCACAAATAATGGCAGTAAGATGTCAGATTTCTTAGTCTCTGAGACAAAAATAGGAGGGCATGTGTAATTTCAATACATTTTATTTCTGGAGAAGGGTATCATCTTCAGACCTGAGAGAGGATGTCATCCAATTTCTTGCTGGAAAAGCCAAAATCTACCAGTTCTGTGAAGCAACTGCAGAATCACTGGCATATGCT